TTTAATGGAGACACAGAGGGTGTATAAATACAGACAAACTAGAAACAAACAGTTCTGGTCAATGACGGCATCATTTCCTTGGCTCTGGAGTCAAGCAGGGTCGAACTGAGTCAAGCTGGGACGCATGCGTTAAACCTACGTGTGATCTCAGCCGCTCTGGGGAGATTATTCACGCGCTTGAAGCCAACACAAGCTGGAGCTGGCGGCCGAGCAGAAACTGTGCCCAGCCCTGTCCCCTTGGCCCCAGAAAACCTGTGTTTACTTACATCCTCACGAGCAAAACAAGTATATAGTATCGAATAAATACAGGGATTCCTCAAAATAACATATACGAGAGATAAAAATACTGTGTGGTTTTACCAACTGGTGGAAAAAGTATTCAGAGAGGACTGTTTATCTCAGCTTTGCTCACGAACCTGAAATGTACGCCAGAAAAAAGCACACAACGCAGAGGAGGAAACAAAAAAGAAAGACACAGGAAAATGTTACAATCTCATCCTTCTCTGCAGGAAACTAATATGCCAATATTTCAGACAAAGTTCATGAACTGAAGAAACCTTTTCCTTGTACTCATATGTTGAAGTTTATGACATATGAGCAATCAAAGAATGTTGCAATTTTATAGCTAGTTCGAATTCCCCTGACTTTATCAGGATAAAGGCAAATAAAGTAAGTGAAAAATCATAGTTGGTAAAAGGAGCCGCAGGTATTTCTATCACATAGTTCGAAGCAGAATTCAGATTATAAATGTAATGAGTTAACACAAGGTCTCTAATAATTTCAGGAGACCAATAGCCTTTATTTTTCTGCTCAGTGCCATGCAAAAATAAAAATAGAAAACATTCCTGTCCTAATATAATTTATAAATGGAAAGTTTCCCTCAACAAGAAGTATTTAGACATACAAATGTGTTAATTTTTAAAGGAAGAGAAAAATAAGTACTAAGAGGTTTTGTATTAAGGGAGAAAACACAAGATCTATCATTCATTCATTAAGCTCATTGACAGCCAGACCAGCACACACAGTTATTGTTTGGGGCATTTTTTCCTTACCTTGGAGGGAAATAGGTTTTTCTCCCTCTGTGATAATTAGTTTTGTCAGCTTCGCTGTTTATACGTGAAACTGAGAAACTGTTAATTGAAATAAAAAATGAGTCACTGTTTCCAGCAATTTTTGCCAATGTTTTGATCTGTGTCAATCTGAGCTTAATTACTGAGTTTTCTTTAAAGCAAGAGGCGAGCTCACATATTTGAATTTGGCTCCATACGCTATTACACTCTTTAGACAAATGTCAATTTGGAAGTGTAGCTAAATAGCATTTAAAGTGCCTTTAATGAACTGTGGCTCATAGAGGTCTATGGTAAGTACAACTAGGATGAGAAAACACTTGTTTTTCAAGAAGAAAATGAAGTCTTTAAAGCCTTTCAGCAGGTCCTATTAACCGTGGTATATGGCCCATCACTAATGATGCTGTCCAAGTCCGCTTCTCACAGCCATGGGAGGGAACACATTTGGGAAGCCCTCGGCATGGCACGGCACGGCACGGCACGGCACAGGGGCTGCTCTGCACTTCCCCACCAGCCTCCTTTGATATTTGCTGTGCAAATATGTATTGTGAAGAACTCACCTCCTACTGTAAACACACTGCGTTATTCCACAGGATTTCCCGAGGGAATTACGGCTATTGGACAAACTAGAAACTGTAACAGAGCGTGGCAGAAATACGTGAATTCACCAGCAGGCTCTGAGACAACAGAAATGCAGGGGAAGACTCTCTCATGTGTTTATTGGTTTGAACCTCTAATTAGTTTCTGGGTCTTGTGTAGAGGGGAAAAGGATGATGGAAAAAAAAGAAGGGTCATATTTTTAAAAGAACAGTGGTAAAACAAGGGAACAAAAAGAACATTTGCATTCTGGGGGTGCATGAAGCCAGTTAAGAGACATTGTAAAAAGCTGTCCTACAAAGTCATTTGTGTGGCAAGCCAGCAATTTATATGGTCTTGCAAAGATCATATCCGGTTACATATACAGCACTTCTCCCTAACTAGGAATTAGCTAAATATATATTACTAAATAAAATTGTGTTAATATCATAGGAAGATATTCTTAGAGATGCACAAATATTTGTATAGAAGACATAATACACATTTTCATAAATCATGTGCCAATACGCAGGATAAACTGAAGACTTAAAACAGCTGTTGCTAAAAGAGCGGCAGGCAGCCCTCTGTTTTGGGCCAGTTTTTTGGCCAGGCTGGTAAATTGAAGATAGGCCCAGAGGCAGAATGGCACCTTCCTTGGGCGGCCTCTCCTGCACAGGGGTGTCACTCCCTAGGGGTAAAGACAAATCTCCAGCACGGAGCTCCCTCTGATGAAAACTGAGCCATTCACTCTTGGCCATTCACTCTTGGCAGACATGGAGAACAACTCACCCATCCCAACTGTTGCTGTATCAGCTTCTGAGGTCTTTGAGAACATTTGTCCTTTCTCAACTTCCTTTCCTCTCTAGATGCAGCAACCCTTTCAGCTGTGCTTTCTGCTCCTCACTGTAGGCTGCTTTCCTCCTCATATCTTCTTGCCATTTGTGCTGTTCTCTTGTGGATGCACTCAAAATTATCGTCACCTGCAAAATGGGGTATCCTAAATCAAACAGAGAATGTCAGCTACAGCCTAGTCAGTGTCAACTGATGCACAGTAGTTACTTCCCAGGTCTTGCACACAATATTCCTGTTAATACGATTTGTGAATGTCATACTTTTTTTTTTTTTTGGCTAAAGCCTCATTACACCACTAACTTGTACTCAGCTAGTGTTCTGTGAACACAAAGCCTCAAACTAAAAAATAAGTATATAAAATAACCCTGCCTGAACTCCATTCACTCCAATAAAGAATTATTTCACCAAATCACTCCTAGTAAATTCCTCTTGGTAGAGCAATAATACAGCTGGAGCAACCAGCTTATAGTTGTTAAGAGTGTTTAAATTAATTAAATGAGTAGCACACCATTTCACGTATCCCTAAGGGATTTTGTAGGCCATTAGATGTCAGATGAAAATCAGGACTTATATCCACTTTGCATAATGGACAAATTCACTGTGAATGGCTGAAGCCTAATCATGAGGCTAAAGTGAGAGTTTCCTATCGGTGCTCTTTTGCATGGGCATTTTGGTTTTGTTGTAAGACAAACTATTGACGATATACGGAAAATAAACATTTTAATGTAATTGTGAAGGTAGCCTAGCACACAGATATCTGAGTCAAAGACATAGTATCACCCAGAAAGGTTAGAGGGCTCAAGTATATGTGGTAGGGGCAGGCAAACAGGGATGTCTCCCTCACAGACAGGCAAAGCACGCTCTGTGTGCATTTACACAATTTCATGTGTATTTGTGGCATCTCTCATACTATAAATATACAGCCATAAAACCCTACTATCCTCTCACACATTCAGCACAGCTTTGGACACATACCTGCATTGAAACCATGAGAATCACTTCCTTTGGACATCAGGGAACTTCACACCATACATCTGATAGATTTTGTCATTAAGTGGAAAAAAAAATCCTTTTTATTTTTTCTTTACTTTTTCTTTTTTTTTTAAGCTTATTTTTCCTTCTCCCATGCCCTATCCCCCCATTTGAAACCCTACTATCCTCTCATACATTCAGCACAGCTTTGGACACATAGCTGCATTGAAACCACGAGAATCACTTCCTTTGGGATATCAGGGAACTTCACACTATACGTCTGATAGATTTTGTCATTAAGTGGGAAAAAAAATATCTTTTTTTATTTTTTCTTTTTTTTTAAGCCTATCTTTCCTTCTCCCATGCCCTATCCCCCCACATCTAACTGTGAAACCATTTGCTTAATTATCAGGAATTTAACTGACTAGCTGGCTACCACTGTTAGAATAGTTGGCTGCTGTTGCACCTGACTGCTTTTGCTGTGTTGTCCTGCAGCACTGGTTAGGTCTCCTCTTGGGTCTCCTGTCCTAGGCATTGAATTCAAAACTAGGGCTTGCACACCCAGAGAAAATTGCAAAATTTCAAAATTTTTAACTGGGAGCTTTTTTTTTTATTTTTAGGTTGCTACAAATCAGGCAACCTGAAGAAGCTTCAGCATCCCAGGAGCTCCCCATGCCCACTTAGTACCAAGCCCCCAGAGCTCTGCTGAGCTCCCACCTTCTTCCCCATGCAGAAGGGACCAACATCCCTGTTGGAGCAGGTCCCAGCCCCAAAACAGTTAATGCCATCAGGTGGCCAAACTCTCTGTCCTGTGCTGAAAATCCCCTGCGCTCTGGCAGTTATGATCATACAGGCACTTGAAACTGAAGCTATTTTAAACTAGTCCAGCTCGTCTGGCAATCGTTTTCCTTACTGTTGTTAAACTTTCCTGAAGTTCCTTTGCCCTCCTGGTCCTTTAACCTGCGGTGAAAGCTGGCCATAAGCCAGGATCAGGAGGGCAAAGGAACTTGCATTTTCAGTCTGCAAAGCAGCATCTTTCAGTCTGCAAAAAGGACCACCATGCACCATACTTGCAATAGAATAAAACTGATTCTTCATTTCTCTTTCTAATAATAATAACCTGGAAAAAAATGAAGATAGCTCATCAACTATTGATTGAGTTCAAGGAGAAAACTTTCCTTCTCCTCAAATATACACAGCAATAGCTTTGCTGTATCTTTTGTACTATCATGGGTATTACCAAGAATGTACTGCATTTATAAAACAAATGATTGTCTCCTATGAAGTTAGACAGATCATTCTGGACTTTGATACAGTTCTTTGTACAGAATATCAAGAAGAAAAATTCAGTGCTTGTTACTGTCGGGAGATTTCTTCATTATAAAAAAATGACATTTATGTATTTGCATGATATTATACACAGTAGTGTTAAATAATACTTTGCGCACATGTGTGTTATTGAGCTTTGTGAGCAGTAATGAGTGAACATGCAGCACTGCTACCAGTCTGTGACACATTTTCTTCTCTCCTCAGCACACAACTATACTGCCTTTCGCTTTCCTGGAAATCTTTGCCACGCCACATCGTTATCCAACAAAGAAGAAGGGACTGATCCTAGTAGGATTTGTCCATTTGCTGTATATAAGTTGGTAAGAATTGTGTAGTTCAAAACATGGGGTTTTCTTCAAATGATCTGCTTTAGAAAACATAGCTAAATTCTGTATTTAGATTAAGTTTAAGATCACAGGCATATGGGACAAATAGTCTATATTGTGGAAAAGACACAATGCTAGGTGAGAACCATAAAAACTCTCCAAACACAGTATCGCCCCCAAAGCTATACACGGTTACTCCTGCTATTCTACATCCTCTTTAGAAAGACAACTAAATTGTTCTAAACTCTGGGGTACTTCGATAATATATATATATTTTTTCCATTAGGATAATATTCTCCTCTCATTTCTACAATTTTTGCTTTTTAATTTTTGTAAAAGAGCAAACCTCAAAGGTCTGGGGTCCAGAAGAAGAATAACACTTATTTTGATGCTTCTTGGGGAAATCTGAGTGGATTTAGAAACCTGAGCTATAAAGTGATGCTCAGAGCCAGGTGCACAAGGACAGGAGCACCAAGGAAGCATCTGCTCCACTGCCACCTTCAGCTGCGCTGATGGACACCCCTATGTTTCCATCATTCATCTCCAACCTGTTGATCCCACTTTCCATCTGCGGGGTTCTGAGAAAATAAACTCTATCTAAGTGGGTCTGTTCATAGCCCACGTCACTGGTGCGTGACAGACCATGGGAGCTGGTGCTGCATCTGTTCCTGCTCATAGCACACAGGCTGCAGTGCTGGCGTCCCAGGCACAGAGAAGCCACCCCGGGCAGCTGTCAGCAGGTCAGACTACTCGGGCACGCATTATGCCGAACCTCAGCTCCAGGGTGTATCTGGATAGTTTCAGGATGCACCGTGATGTAAGACCCTTCCCAAGACTGTACTGGTCATGGGAAGCACCTAGACTCTAGAGTGGAAGATGCAGAATAACTGATAAACAGAGGAGAAATTTGTTTTCATGCAAAGCTTTCTGCAAAGCAGCTAGGATTACTATGGCTTTTCATTTTCCCATTTTACCCACCAGTTCTTACTCCCAGCTAGATACACTCCAACATTATGTACTTCAGTCCCACTGAATGAAAACCTGGAATAGAAAATAAATCACACAGATAAAGCAATCTTGTGATTTGAAACTTATAATAGTGGCTTTGGAAACAATGAACTTTGCTACTACATTATATAACCAAATTAGGAATCATTTATCCTAATCCTGCCCAGAGCTTAATATGATCAGGATCATGGCTTCCTAAATTCCATTTCTCTGCTCTGGTTCACTCCATTACTTAATGCTACCTTTATTTTGCTTGTCTTATGGCAGCATTTGGCTTTTACCGTCTTCAAGCTCAGATAAGGCTCTGGGCAACTGCTGTAGCCCCATGTGCCATGCTTTCTCCTAAAGCCCTTCATGCCTAATAGTTTCATGGGAGCTCCTGTTAGTGACATGGCTGGAATTCTCCTCGTTCAGTGGGAATCAACATAGGGATCTGCCTGCTGAAAGGGAGAGAAATACATTGCCTTCCCAGGTCACTTCCAGTCAATTCCAGCAGACACCTTGCTGTAACCTTGGCTGCGAGGCAGTGGAAAATGGAGCCATAAGTGACTTTTTCAGGACCATCTACCTGCCTCCAGGTGGGACTTTCCTCTAGCTTTGGATACGTGCAGTATTCAAAAAGGAAAGCTCATTTTCAATCATAGAACATCAGGGCTAGAAGATCCGTCATGACTGTTAGTTAATTCTTGCAAGGGTAGATACTGACCCTCCTGTTTGCACTAAGTAATGCTCTACTATGGGAGTCATCACATTGAAAACTATGAAGGATGTAAAAATATTAGAATTGTCATTTTAAGTCCTAAAAAGGAAGTAACAAGAGCTTGCCCTTTTCCATCTCAGTGGCAAAATCAATTCAAAAGTAAAAATCAGCAGAAAATAAATCTTATTCATCACAATTGTACAAGTGCTTTTGGAGAAAAGATCAAACTACCTTTGTAAGGGAATAAAAATCATTATAGATCACCCACTGTATCTTTGCGAAACTAAACCTCAAAAAATGAAGCAATTTAAATCTCTTGTAATGAGTCCATATTCTACCTCTGCCACGAACCAAGACTTTTCTTTCACTGTATGCTCATTTTCATTTCACAACCTTTTAATTTCAACTTAACCACACTTTCAGAGAGCTCACATAACCACAGTACTTTCTTCTCTCCTTTTTGGATTTTCCCATTTAATAACTCCTTAGGGACTTCTTTTTTCATTTCCTTCAGTGAGTCCAGAGCCCCCATTAACATTGGAAATGACACACAAAAAACAAGAGGAAAGACTCAGCCCCCCATTGCCTCGTGCTGTACATCACCTCTCAGCGGTGTCTATATGCTGCCCTAAATTCTACAGCAGCTCAGCAATGCCCTTTCCCTCTCTAACCAGCAACATAAGAGCTCACCTTTTCAGCCATTATTTTTCCTTTGTACTCTCTGATTTCTCCATTTTGTGGCATATTTTCCTGCCTGTGGGGCAGCTTGATTGTCACTTCTCTTTCTGAGTCCTGACAAGCACTAGAAGGGGCAAGCAGGGCTCCCTTCGGAGAAAGCAAGGTTGTGTTCCCTTGTAAATGCTGGTCATAGAGGGAAAGGCACAGAAAACCCCTCAGCTGTATTTATAAATCAAGAATTAAGCAAGGTAGGATCCTTTTGACCTGAAGGTTCTTTTTAGGGAAGTGCTGCCCAATACTAGAAAGAAAATATCCTCAACAATCACCACAGAGCTGTTCTATTTCGCTATTTTTAATATAAAAATTATGCATAAATATATATATTTATAGACGATATTTGCTTGTAAATGTTATATATAGAGAATATCGTCTTATTCTTAAACCCAAGCATTTGCTGTTGGTCATTCTTATGAGAATGAAAATAATCATGAAAATAATGTCAAAAAAATGCCAGCCACAACAAGACTCATTTTGAGCGAAGAAAATGGAGGAAGGGAAGGCCCAAGCAGAAAAGAAGCCTTATGAAGTCGGCATAATTACCATTTTCTCTTTTATTCTTTTCTTCTTACCAGAGTTGCTTTCCACATGGTCCAACCAAGAGGCAATGCAGTTATAGCTCTGCTGCCTACCTGGAACTTGTTCCTTCTCTTTTTCTACTTTTAGACCCGGAGTAAAGTTGCACGCAAATTTCCCTTGCCCTCTGAGCCCCTGAATCACCCTTCCACTCCCTAAAATGGTGTGGGCTGGTCAACAGTGAGAGGATAGAGATGCCACTGAGAAAAAGTGGATTGGGACCCTATACTGCATATGCTCTTGGGATACTATGCTTGGTACAGCCCAGTACAGATCCATATTTCTGACTATTTCACTTTTTTTTTTTTTAACTGCAATTTTACAGCTATAATAATCCATGACACTGGGGTGACATTGTGTACATTTCAACCTGCACTGAAGTCCATCTAATTTAGCAGTGATTCCAGTGTGCTTCAATAGCAAATAATCCAAATGCCAAGGAGATGCTAAGCTAATTTTCTTTGTATCGAGGCTGTTTGGATAACCTGGCCCTTCTGGAGTTAAAGATCATGAAGTGGTTCTTCTAACTTAATGGTGCTAACGGAAGGCAATTTCTCTCCTTGTCCAGGATCCTGTGGATTTACTCGGTAACGGGAGAGTGGGTATATCCCGTCTTTGGGGTGTTCAGCCCCGTGGGCCTGGCAGCCTTTTTCGCTGGCTGCCTTGCTGTCACCGTCTGCTGCTACAGCTTTGGAGCGTTCCTCAACCGCATGATATGGGGTCAGTTTTTCATCTTGTTTTTCACTTCTAATCACATGAAAAAAAATGATCTGAAATGAACTCCTGTGACTGAGTGGGAAGGCAAGGGGGAAGGAGGGCCACGGTACGTTGTGGGGGCACTTGAGTGCCTGATAAAAATCGCTAGCTCCAACAACAAGCAAATCAGAGCAAGAATCCCAACCCTACCAGAAAAAAACAAGGGCCATTCTTCTCTAGCATGGCTTGAGAAGCATCTCTTACCAGTACAGTCGCTGGGCTTTAAATTCCTTCTCAAACAACGGTCCACAGTTCTGGGCTAAAACTCAGTATTTAGTGAACTAGGAAATGTTACTGCTTACTAAAAATTTAGAAGGCAACATATGCAGGTGAGAGCATCTCAATAGCTAGGTAGCAGACAGCACTTTTGAGAACATCTCCCTTCTGCCTCTGTGGTGATATATTCAGTGAGGATTTGGAGAAAATGAAAGTTGGCCTACTTGGACAAATAAGCAAGTATGTATATAAATATATATATATACACACACACTCACACACGCATACCGCTATATATATAATGCACACACATACAACTACTCTTATATATATATATATATAAATATGTATATAAATATAAATATATATATAAAAAAGTGCTTTAGAAGAAAACATTCACCAGTTGGAAGAGAAAAGACAACTGATGAAGCTTGAGGTTTGGGGGTGAATTTTTTTGTTTGTTTGTTTTTTCCTCCTCTTCTGGTTTCCTCTCTCTTTTTTTTTCCACTCAAGATAAAGTTTTCGAGCATGAAAGTGTCTGTCAGGAAGTGTGTATTTTATTTAGGACAAACGTGTGAACATTTGTAAATTTTTAAACGAGATTTTTGTTGAAAAGAAAAACCCTGCAAAAAACACCTCTGAAAATCAACAAGACAACCTCCCTCTGTTCCCAGGGAACATGTGATGCCTGATCTGTTCTGGGAAGTCTCACATGCCTGTCAAGCCAAAGCGGAGTGTCTATAGCTAGTCTCTCACCATGTGCACTCTGCTACCTAAAAGGAGCAGATTGACTTTCAAGCGTGCTGTATAACCAGCATCAGGGCTTGATGCCTTTGCAAATAAGATGCTCACTCTACGCACCCATAATTTTGGCTGTGTTCTCTTCTTGCATAATACAATATGTAAGGAAGATTGCTGGTAGCTGAAGAGACCTGTAGGTGTTTTGCACTAACTCTGGTTTAAGAGGCATCTCCAAAAAGGCAAATACTACTAGTAATATCTCTTGTTTCTTGTATATAACTATCATGCCATCACCCCTAAAAAACAAAATCAGATCTTACACAATCTAGGTATGAGATTTTTTCACCATCAAGTAAGTATTAGTTATTCTGGGCCTAGAATATGCCTGATGCAGAAACTGAAGATAATCAAAAAAAAACTATTTTGATTCTCGAGGTGTTAATGAAGTGAACCAAAGGTTTTGCCAAATAGAGATCAAATTAACTGCAAAAATTAGCTGCATTTTGAACTGCTGACTAAATAAGCTCACCCAAGAAAGAGATATTAATTCATGAGATTTTTAAGAAACTAGGCAAATATCCAGATTTCTATATTCCCAGAAAGGCTAAAAAGCTGTCCCAGTTGTGATAGTATGAATGTAGCCTCGAAGATTACATGTAAATTACATACCTTATGTCCTCCATCCAATGTCCTTTAGTGGTCCATGGAGATCCCTGTGTGTGCTGGGTTTGTCCTTTCATTCCCACTTGATATTTTTTAAAAGAGCCACAAAATCATGGCCATAACCATTACTTGGTGCTTTCATCCAAGCACCGGGCACTCAAATTGCCTGTGTAATCTCTTGTAATTTTACATGTATTCTCAGCTCTCCACCTCCAGGATTGGTGACATTACCTAGCTTTGCCGTACATGGATAAAAGCTGGAGTCTCCATGCCAATAGCTCTGCAGCACGAGAGTCTGCAGTTTGGTAACACGGGGGCTCTGCGAGCAGCAACATCTCAGTGAGTTCCTGCCCACCGCCGCTCCTTCCTCCTCTAGTGCACGCTCTTGGGGTTGCAGGAAGGCTTGTTTTTAGCTTGAGTATTTTTCCTCATCCATTTCCCAGCTGTGTCCACCCAAGAGAGCGGCAGGACTTCCTAAGGCTGGTATTGATAAGATCCCAATATTGTTGAAGCACAACCAGAGGGAAGTTTTTCCAAATGCCAGAGCCTTAGTATATTCCTGACTGAGACAAAACTTCTGCATGGCCAGAGTAAAAACAGATGCAAATGGGATGAAGATGTGATTCCAACACACCTTTTTTCTTGCAGCAAAATGGCTCCATGTGATTTTTTTTTGTCCTAGCCTTTTGCTGTCTCTCCTTCCCATAACAATAAAGGAACAGAAACAGTTAAACTACCCCTGTGGAAGAACAAAAAACAGAACAACCTATGGTGTAAAAGGACAAGGTTCTTCACCTCTCCTAAACATCTACCCCACACCACCATTGTGGAACATTATTTTGAGTCTTCCCTGTGGCAGGCTCTGGGACTGACTGTGGGCTTCAAATGAAGCTTTTCCCACAGTGTGCTCTGTTTTATAAGGGCTCTTTCCCATGTTGCTCTATGGCTTCAGGCCATTATCATTTTTCCTAAAATGAAAAGTACCGGACATGTGAATACTTACTCCTTTCCATCCATAAACGTATAGTTAGCTCCAATTTATTCCAAAGTCCATGGATGGCATCTTTCAGCTATCACAAGTAATTTTTAAAGCTACAAATCCTGTGCTTTGCAAAGATGTGGTATCATTTCTGAGAGCTGGAAACCCAGGCTGCCTAATAATATAACCTGGTTTTTCCTCTGGAGAGCAACACAGAGATGCCAGACCCTAGATGTGTTTTAGTATTTATAGACAAACTATTTCATATAGTATCTGAGGTTTTAAAAACGCATTATTTCGCCTTTGCCTCTGCCTCCCCTTGCACAGTCGGATCACGGTAACTAAGGCAACCCAGCTGCACAGGCCGAGTGGCACAGAAAACAGCACCAGCCACGACTTGGGTTTCTGTTTGCTTCAAATTCCAAAGTTTCTACAGTACTAGACAATGCTGAGTAATACAGCAGCTCCAAAGAGGATAACTGGAAACAATGGGCTGATTCTTCTGCTGTCATAATTTTACCTCAGCTGAGAATTTGGCTGCAGGGTCTTAGTACCAAAGATGAATCATGGGATGTCTTCTCTCAGTCCTGATGGGTAGAAACACCACACAGACAGCTGATCTCATTTTATTATTTTTGACCTGTCAAAAAAGGAACCCTCAAGCATAAAGCAAATGAGTTTCCCCTGGGATTTTTTCTTTGGTGAGGCAAGCAGATCCTCGGGGGAAATTTAGATCAAAGCTCTCCAATGCAGGAAGTACAACATTTAAGGTGAGGTTTCTTCTCTGGCACCACTGTCTGAAGATTCATTGGATTCATGTCTTTCATCTAGCAGTCCTGAAACATTTTAAGCAGCTGCTTCATTTCAATACTCCGAAATGTATGTGAATACATTTCAGCTCTATATGATCCTTGTTGTCTCACTGGCTGGCAACAACACTGCGAGAGATTTAAATGCTCACTAAAGGACACCAGGCAAAATCACTTTTAAGATTTTACAGCCACGGGGCATCTGCTGAGTTCCAAGCAAACGCTCCTCCCCGGGCGGTGGAACCGCCTTGTTGAGGAAAAGAGGGGCAAAAAGGAAGGTGGCCCAAGCAGCGCCAGCAAAAGCCTCCCCCACAGCGTATTATCTGTAAAATGATAATGTAAGATCGAACTCTCGATGCTTTCATTTTATTTAGCAGTTATTGAGTTGAGATTGCAGAAACCCAAGTGGCAAATCAATCAATGCAAGGAGTGTTTCTGCGGGGTAAAACATCAGTCTATACAGGCACAGGTTTGGTTATGAATGGTAGTTTTGAATGAACGTTAAAATGCTCCTGTTGTGCAGGTAGTTATCAGTCTAGACACAGGTTCTACTCTTTGCTATCACAGCCCTGTAGCATCTTTAGTATCCTCGGCCATTTTAAATGGAGCCTCAAATCTAGAAAATGCTTTCATTTGTTCTATCATGCCTTTAAGAACTAGGAATGGTCCAAGTTATATACATTTTTTTTTTCAGTGAAGTAACAGCATTTATTACAATTTCACTATCAGTGATGAATAGAATGCCATTTCAGGAGGAAAATTGTATCTAAAAGCCCAAAGTGTGCAAACCAAACGTTCATGTTTACTTTTGCCTCATCCATTCATCCTATTTGTGCCACAGAGTGGTGATGGCATATTTATATCCTTCCTGTTTGTCAGTCAAGTTGCAGATTACCACTGGGGTAGAGGAATCCAGCTATTTAAAGAAAATATGCATCATCTGTTACATGACCTACTGCTGCTGACAAGTTTATCTGATGATCCACTGGAGGGAGTCATGATCAGCAGCTCTGGCAGCCCAGGCGTCCAGTTTCATCACTCGAGACCAAACATATTAACAGATGCCTGTGAACATGCTAGCCCTGGCTTAACAGCCTTGTCTTCTTCTTCTGTGTCTGTCTGTGAGATGCCTATTTGTACTTGTCACCCTAAAATATTTCTAGGATGATTTAGGGAGGAAGGACTGCAAGGCCTCATGTTCCATATGGGGTCAATTGCTACATGCTATGTAGGCTGGAAAATACATAAAATGCAGTGGGTTTTCTGAGTTTCAGAGACTCCAAGGTCTACAGACAAGTTAAGCAGCTGTAGAAGAGGGAACCCTGAGGGCGGTCAATCCTCAAGAACAAAGAGAGTTTTAAAGGGTAGGAGCTCCTAATCACGTCCGGGCAGTGCCACCCTCGGGGCCAAAGGCAGCCCATCTGTCTGATCTCTGCTGCTGCTCCAGGAAGACCCTTGGGTAGGTCCTGTGCCATCCTGGGCAGCCTTGTGAGGATGCTTTGGGTATCTTTTCTGCAACCTGCTGTGGGCAGGAATTTTCATTTGCATTTCATTCATCTGATGCATTTGCAAGCGAACTTCATTTTTTAAGATTTTCCCATATTGTTCAGACTGGGCTCAGGTGTCGACAGATACTGTTCCCACTAGCAAAGCACCGTAATTCTTAGTGGATTTGGTCCGTGCCGGTTTTCAAACCGTGCTTCGGAAGCCCTGCTCGCTGCCTCCGCGCTGGGCACATCCGCGAGCAGCGGCCTCGAGCGCGGCGCCCGCAGCTCCCTCCTCGCCCCGGGCGGATCCGGCGCCCTGGGATGCGGGCAGGTCCGGAGCAGCTCCATCCTCCTGCTCTGGGAGAGGGCTTCGCCAGCATGCCTTGCTAAACGCAGCCCGTTCTCCCCTGCCTCCCAACAGGCGATTCCATAGCAATCCTGGACTACAAGCGCAAAGGCAAGTGAGGCCTCCCCTTCAAGCCGAGCGATCCCTCCGTGAACACTGAAGCCATGAAGCAGAGGAAAATAAACGCAGCTGTGATAAACCCTTTCTCCGATGCACTGCAGCTCCTGGTGAAGCCATTATGTCATGAGGCATTTGGAAAACTGGTGGAAAATATGAAACGTTTTCCTCCACAACGGCTATGAATAAGAAAACTGTGTTCCTCGCCTCTTGCACAGTAACTCCACAATGGCTATGAATAAGAAAACTGTGTTCCTCTGTTTACGCAGATTTCTCATCTCTTGCACAACGTACGTGAGGACGCGTCCATGGGTAAAACTTGTCACTGTTAAAGAACTCCCTCACGAGCCTGGCACCCCTCTGCAAAAGCCCTGTGAATGGGAGCCAGCCCTTGTTTGGATTGCCCTTCACCAAGCCTGCAAAACATTAAGAGGAGGGATAATTTTAACACTGCTGTGACTTCCAAGCTAGATAGATAAGAAATTGGGCTAGCAAGGACTGTAATTAGGAATGTCTGCTCATAAAGTTCACCATGAAGCCAAATTCTTCCAATGAAAAGCATTCTGGAATATTAATATCTCCCCTCCTCCATTCCTAATAAGAAATCTGAATGCAACACTTTTTTTTTCTTTGGTTTCAGTTAATCTTGTAGCAAAAGTAACCTAATTATACTGACTGTATGATTGCTTTGACAGAAAGCATGTTAATTTAAAGCACTGTTTAACATAAAGCTGCCATATAATTACATTCCATTCACATGTTTACTAATCTTCCTCAATGTAGCTGATTTCTGTTATTAGCCTCTACATCTCGTTAACATCTAAAACGCTGGAGATGTGCTTTGTAAACTCTAATAAACGGGCAGAACTGACTCTTGTGCAAGTGCTCTCTGATGGTCAACGTGAAAGATCTCTCTGGTATTAGTGGTGCATTTAAGTGTGAATTTGAAACCAATCACGGTACCGCAGTGCCTAGTTCCCTCTTCACTGCCAAACCGCGTAGCTTACAGCTACCATGCGCTCAGTTCACCAGGGTGTTATTTTCGTCCTTTTAAAGCTGCTGTAACTTAGTGAAAATGAAACACATTGCAAGCTGTCTGTGAGCAATAAAAGAAAGTACCGTGCATCCCTCAGATTGTTCTTCTTGCGTGTTGAGCACCTGATAAAATTTCAGCTTGGGTGATTAATGCACCAGGACTAGCTTGCAAACTCCATTACCTCTACTGCCAAAGATGCGGGCACGTTCAGTAGCTCCCAGTTTACCCGGATTACAGCTGGGGCCTGGGCACTGTGCATGGCAGTTTGCAGCCTTCGCTACCACGGG